GTTTTTCCTGTTGAAGAAAAAAAGAGTGGAAAAGCCTGTAAAAACAAGTTTCACAGTCTACTAACAAACATTCAGACACAACACAAACCAGAAAGAATCAGGCGTTTCACAGGATATTCTTGTTGCGTGGTCAGTAAGTTAAATAGACTGTTTATATTTACAGTCTATGGTAAGTAGAAGGAGGATTTTGGACAAACATCTGCAAAAAAAACAGTGTCATCATCATCTGAGTCCTACCAGGTAAAGTGTCAGCTTTTAAAGTGCAGCTGTAGTTGTTGAAGTAAGCTGGCTTCAGAGGGTCTGTCCCCGACATCTCCACTAGGTGGGACTGGGTAGCTTCCTTCAGCTGGGACAGAACATGGTGTCCACTCCGCTGTGAGGAACAGTTCACCTCAAATACCTGTGAGTGAAAAGGTTAATAAAGACGGACGATTTGTCTCATCAAAGAGTGACGTCCAGATAATTCTCGGATTTGAAAATCTTGATTTACTTTCTAAGGAAATTGAAATGTGCCGTGCTATTCTTCTTGAAATGATTTTCCAGTTGATTCCCTTCTGATGTGTTCTCAGAGGGAACAAGCAGTTACTACATGCTGACAAAGAGTCACACAGTGTCATTCTCATTTTTGACGCCCAGGTCCCAAATGTAAGAGCAGCTTTTATATCCTTAAAAGTGTAAACGGTAAATGCAGTCGAACAAACCTTCTCAAGAGTGATTTATAAAAGAGTTATAAAAAAAAAAAATGAAGGCCCTGTAGAGTGGGTACCATCAAATAAATGAGCTAATGATGATAAGGCTGTAAACATCTTTATTTCAACTTCAAAAATTGACATTTCATGTGAGATTTAACACAGATAGCAAACACTCAGGGAACTTCAGTTTTTTTTTTCCACTTCTGCCTTGGCTTCCTTTTTTAAACTTAGTACAACCTGTCCTACATTCGACATGTGTTTATGTTTGAACACTTGTTCTCGAGGACGCGCTAATACAAAGATGTTAACTATGCCAAGCGCATATTTAGATGATATGAAACTGTATGTAGACGATCAGCCTATCACAACAAGGATTCAAAAGGTATTGTCGAAGTGTGATTCTGACCTTGAAGCCGAGCTCCTGGGCACAGGCATACACTGAAGCCGTCTTGCCCACACCTGGAGGTCCTCGTATGAGCATCGTGTTACACAGCGGCTCCTCCTCTGCCCCGGCTTCACCCAGGAAGTCTCCACAGTCCCATGAGCCTGCACAAGAAGACACTCATTGCTTTTTTTTTCAACCAAACACACCGCAAACATGGAAAACTCTGCGACCTCCTGCATCATAAAACATCATGCGGAAAGAATAAGCAGGCTCACGTCAGCGTTTTAGAAACTACATCACAAGGTTAACCTGACGCTGAGATATTAAAGGAAAATGTGTGAATAAATCCAGATCATACCGTTGCTGTTTTCTTCTCGTTTTCTTTCCTCCAGTTTCCTCCTTTCCTCGCAGTCAGCCCTTAGTTTCCATTTCTTCAACCAACTGAACTCATAAGGACAACAACATTACACACTTCGGACTCACACCGACTTCAGATGCATTCGCAAAAGGGCGATGGACTCATGACATCAAACCCACCTTTGCAGTTTACTCACAGACACAGAGTTGCCTATGACTTCACTTGAGTGCTGAGGACTGTATTTGTCTGTCCAGAGAACATCGTCATAACTTGAATCTGGACAGATGATGAGAAAAAGGTCAATTTCTGATTTTTAAAGGAGGCACCACGGCATAGGTAAATAGATAGATAGGTAGATAGATAGACAGATAGACAGATAGATAGACAGATAAATAGATAGATAGATAGATAGACAGGTAGATAGACAGATAGATAGATAGATAGGTAGATAGATAGATAGATAGATAGATAGATAGATAGATAGATAGGTAGCTAGGTAGATAGATATATAGATATATAGATAGATAGATAGATAGGTAGATAGATAGATAGACAGATAGACAGTTAGATAGACAGATAGATAGATAGATAGGTAGATAGATAGACAGATAGACAGATAGATAGACAGATAGACAGATAGATAGACAGATAGATAGGTAGCTAGGTAGATAGATATATAGATATATAGATAGATAGATAGATAGATAGATAGATAGACAGATAGATAGAAAGATAGATAGATATATAGATATGTAGATAGATAGATAGATAGACAGATAGATAGGTAGATATATAGATAGGTAGATAGGTAGATAGATAAATAGACAGATAGATAGATAGATAGATAGATACTTTATTGATCCCGAGGGAAATTCAAAGCATCCAGTAGCAGGTTACAAAGACGTACATGACATGAAACATTTGTTACAAATTAAACCACAAAACCGACGCCCCCCCCCCTCCCATACATATATATTAACCCGAAAACAAGATTTAAAGAATACCCCGAGATGAAACAAACTTAAACTGTGCAATTAAAAAGGTAGAAACTAGGTAGAAACATGTACCTGTTTGGGGACTGTCAGAGATTTTGAGTGACTTGCTGTCACATTGGGTGTGTGTTATTAGTCCAGAATTCAGTTCACTGGTATTCACCAGGCCTGGCTGGCGTCCACTTTGCTGCTTTAGTCTGTGTGTGCGACTTAGCCTGTTGATTCTGGACTGCTTCTTCCCCGCCAGGACAGGACTTTCCTGGACACTGTGCGGCGGGGTTCGACAGTGATCCACACCAGCAGCACCCTCTTCTGCGACACCAGACCTGAGACGCTTGGGCACCCTCTCTGAGCTTTCATTCCTGCGTTTTCTCTTCTCCTTTAAGTGGCTATGAAGGGAGCCGAGGGTGGGGGCGTTTTCTACTTTGAAAAGAGATTTTTATTTTTTTTAAAACACAAGTTCAATGAGATGGGATGGCTTTGTAAAATTAAATTGAAGATCTTCAGAATTGTTACAGACCTCACCTTTAGATCTGAAAGCATGCAGACCCTCACTCGCTTTCTTCTGCAAAGTGCTGAACACTGCTTGGACTGGAAATGCAGGGTTAGATGTTTGGATGTCTTCCAGGTGACAGTGCAGAACTGAGGCTGAAAGCTTGTCTCTGCAGGACCCCTTTCTCTTGGTCAGGTGGGACACTGTTGACAGTCGCTGCTGGTGATCTTTGCAGTGAGGAGGAAGCTCTGATTTCTGCAGCCTGTCTTTAAGTTGATCCAGCTTCCCATCACAGCTGCTGTGCTGTGCTGTGTTCAGGAAAATGGGAGCAATTTTAACGCCTTTTGTGCCACAAGTCATCCTCATTTCCTGGAGGGGTTCGTTTATTCTGGTGGAGCAGACATCGGCGACGTCATCTCGACATCTGTCCTTTCCTGCAGACGATGCGGGGTCTTTTTCTTCATCGTCAGAGCACCTCTTCTGTCCACAGCGGGTCTTTGGTTTGCGGTGATGCATCTTCACATTTCTTGATTTGTTTGAGTTTATTTCGCATCGTAAAAAAACACCCTTCATTCAAACGCTACGCGCTGGCATTTTGACTTTGGCGCTCTGACGTCATATTTGTGCAACAGTGTTTTTTTTTTAAATTGCTAACAGCAGTGCTATTTAGCTGAATAATGTATGCGTCACAAATAAACACAACTCACCTCTTAAGCGTTTTAAATATTGTGTAATATTTAAAATGTCCAAACCGAAGACCAAACTGATGGAGAATGACGTGTAAAGCGAGCGCGAGACGGTCCTAAGTTTTAGACAAAGATCGTCTATGCTGAACAGACACGGCACAGGGAGCTCTTACACGGATTAAAAAGTAAACTGAACTGATTAAAGCAGGGCCCCCCCACCCCCATCAACCCTCAACGTGGCCCTCAGGTCAATTTTTTACACATCAATTTATTGGTAACATGAAGAAAACATGACAAACTCTGCCATGAAGTCATGAAAATCAGAAATATGTCCATCGTAAGATTTGATCACTCGTATATGTTGAGTTAAATTTGAAAAATGAACTGCCTGTAATCGTTGTTGTAGTCTACAATTTGGCCCTCTGGCTGTGAGAATTAAATGAAGTTAAAAGAGGACGAATAATAATGATAATTAAAAAGTTAAATCCAAAGTATTGTTTCTAAAAGATGGCCTTTAAATATACTTTAATGGAAGACAATAACTCCAACACTCATTCTATTCTCAATTACATTCAAGTGCATCACGTATTGATGACGCAAACGGACTTAATCAAGGGGACTTAAAATGGACCAGCATCAGCTCATACCTGAGCACCAGTATTGATTTTGCGTTTGATGGTGAACACATTGAAGTCAGCTGGATGAAATCCGAGAGAGATAGAAGGTAAGAACAGACCAAAATGAAACAAACCCGATGTCTGCTCTGTGCATGTCTCAAGTTAATACTAGACTGAAATTGCAATACGAGACCCTTGAACTTCACAACACATCAGGGAGTTAACATTAAAATGTGAAATTAAAATGTTATGCTAATGAAATATCTAACTTGGACTTGACTGATTGTTTTTCAAACAGCAGATGACACAAGTCTAAACTCAGAGATCTCTTCATTACATGTTCTTGGGTACAATTTGTCAAATGTAATAGTCTGTGTTAAAGTCCACACACTAAGCAAACTTGAAGAAAACTTCTAGACTATTTTGTTGGTGTTTGCCTTATTTACATAAAAAAAGTAGCTGTAAGATAACTGGTAAATTACAAAGTAAATAGGGCGAAAGTTAGATTTTTTTTCTAATAATAGATGCTTTAGCCTGAAGAGAGCGACATCATTCAAACAGGGCCACTGTACACACACTGACATGCATGTGATTTTTGGTAAATTACTTAGATCCATTCCCTATTTTGGAGTCTTACCCTGAACACTGACAGAGGAAATTCATTCATGGCCTAAAGTAGAGTCAAACCAGACACACACACACACACACACACACACACACACACGGAAGACCATGGAGTGTAATGATGCGTGGTTTCCAAAACGTTACAGACACAAGTAAGGTCAAATGTATTTTTATTTCTTTAAATATAAAAATCCCCATATCCAGAGTGTACAGTTCACAATTTTGAAACAGGGTGTTCAGACAATATTAGTGAATACGTCTCCCCTTTTCCCAGATGAATACAGAAAACCCTCCATGAATACTGGAAGCAGGAAAATATATTGGTAATTTGGTTTTCCACAAGGAAGTCTGGTGAAACAGTAACGTATGATGATCAACCAAATTCATGTGCACACTACAAAAACACTAGTGTCAATTTAGTTTTCTTTTTTTTTAAAGAAACTTGCCATGAAATGAACAAAGTAAGACCTCTAATAAAATGTACTGAACTAAGAGAGTGATGGACATATTACCCTTTGGCATTAACTGCACCTAAAAGAACACACTATGAGGTTGGACCTGGAAACCAAACATGTGATGAAGAAGAGCATATTGCTTTGAGAGAAGAAACTGCCACTTGTTCAGTCATGGAGTTAGAATGGGGAACAGCTAAACATTTGATATAATTACATGTATACACATTTCTGTCAATAATCAGCTACTGGTAGTTATGTTGGAACTCCAACATGTTCAGACCTTGACATGATAAAAAAAAAAAAACAACTAAAAGGTGCCAGCAGCATTACAAAACTGTCCGCTTTACATCTTGCTCGCTATGCACACTACATGATACATGGGGTGATGTTCTGCTGGTTGTTTCAGTAAATCTTCAGAAAGAAAAAAAAAAGATTCAGAAAAGTTCCCTGGCTTTCCTTGAGCTATTAACAATGCAGGCCAAAAAAGGCGTAGGGGTGATGAAGTAGGAGTTTTCCATTTTATCTTCCAGGCAGATAACCAGTGAAAACCAACAGTCCATTTCAGGCCTTCAGACACGAGCTGTAAAGGCTTTATATACTCTAGAGACAATGTGTAGAAACCTTCAAATGAAATGTCATTCACAAATGTGAAATCAAACCCACCGAGGTTTCTCTGCTGGTGACACCAGAAAAGGCTGCATTTAACATTTTGGCGCAGCAGGAATAAAAACAAAAAAAGAAAAGAAAAGAAGAGGACAAATTTACGGTGAGCCTCCTAAACACAAACACCAAGTGCTAAAAGAATCAGCTAAAAGGATACGTTTCCAACAGGGTTACTGTGTGTGTGTGTGTGTGTGTGTGTGTGTACAAAGAATCAACAGTGACAATGTTACCAGTCCAGCTTTAACTGTAGTCTTCGTACAGTTTTCTAGAACAAGAGGACATAACAAAGACGGTTGTGCCACGTCAGAAGACTCCCGTTTGTCCACACTCTCATCCAATCACAGATCATCATGTACTTCAGCGGCACCTACAAATGCATATGACGTAGGTTCAACTTGCATCAGTCAGTCCTCAAACTCCTGGTTTGTGTAGAAGTGGGTGATTCACTTTGATATTGTTCATATTTGGTTCAAATCTCAAGTTCCAAAAACTTGTTTACCTTGTATACAGGTCTGCTTCAAGTCAGAACCTCCAGAGACCAGTTCTCACGCCTATCTAAGCACCAAAGGGTCGGTAATGTTCATTAAAGGAAAAACAAAATGAAACAACGAAAATTTAAAAAAACACACGACAATCATTGTTCCATGAATTTTGGCTCCAGCCTGCATCAGTCCGTCAGTGCGCTTTTTGTCCTCTTGCCCTGTTTCCCTCCAGAGGAGGTGACGGAGTTCCCATTGCAGGCTCCGGCTGAGGCCAGAATCTGGTCTCGCTGCTCCTCCTCGGTGTTCGGCAGCTCCTCCTGGATCTGTCTCAGGCGGGCCATGGCGCGGTCGATGGTGGCCGTGCTCACCAGGTTGAAGTCGTGCATGCTGACGAGATGCAGGAGGAAGTTGCGGCAGAGGTTGCGGCGGATGATGTAAGCACCGTTGTTCTCGGCGAAAAACATGATAGCGTGATTCATCTGGTTGTCCGCTATGAAACTGCAGAGAGAGAGAGAACAGAGAATGAAGTGTTAAAACTGTACAATTACAGCCTATTACAACTATATATACAGCTCTGGAAAAAAATAGGAGAGCACTGAAAAGTGTGTGTTGCCCGCTGATTCTACTATTTAAAGGTTTGTGTTTGACTAAAATTAATGTTTCTCCCAAATGAAATATTCTCATCTAGATCTTTTATTTGCAAAAAATGAAACTTGATTATAACAAAGAGATGCAGTGTTTTTTCAAACGTACAATATGTGGAGTTTTATTAGAATGCACAACATGTTTATTGTTGCCGTGGAAACGAAAGACAGCTACACAAGGAAGTGGTAATTCTTACTGAAAGCTGCCGTATGTGCTGCTGTGATTAAAAAACGTCATGTAAATGATACTTGGATACATCGTCTGTAAACATTACGGTCTGTTTCGCCTGGTCGTCTTGACTACGGTCAACACAAATCTCGTTTTCATTGGGAGGTAGTAGCAGAGAGAATCACTCCCATGATTCCCCACCAGCCTCAACGTTATTGTTTTGATTGAGAGGCCACTGGCGGAGGAATATACATACTGTGCCTTTAAACAGCTAAAAGTGCAATGAATACATGTTCATCATTTTGTTTTTTTTTTGATAATTTTTTTTTAAAATACCAAAGTTTTAACAGTTACGGCTTTTGTGCGTCTGTGCATGCTCACCTTCCGTCCTTCACATTTCTGTTGTTGGGGGACCTTATGACAGAAATTGGAGCACAAATTAAAGCAGCATGGCTTTATTCAATGACTTGTCAGGTGATCATCAATACCTCAAAGATGTGAGGTGTACCTGTGTTGACATTCAACAGACACTGAAATAGGGATGTGCGCTTTTGGTCAACTCAATGTTTAAAGTCATCAGTCTCACTAGTCGGCAAACAGAATTACTAATCCGTTACATTAAATATTCATAGCTTTATAAATTGGTGATCGAGCTGTTCAAATGTTATGCCTTGATTGCAACGCAGCCCCCTGCCAACAGGTGGCGCTGTAGCCATAGACTGGCTGTAGCTGCGGTTGATGGGCCTGCTCTTTCAGATCAACTACCCAGATGTAAACAAGCACATAGCATAGCATAGCATAGCATAGCATAGCAGCAAATTAAGATAAAAACTGTTTGTAGGCTATGTCAGATTAACCTGGCACATCAAGCAGAGCCATGTGTAAGCACATTCAGCACAGGCATGTGGATGTTAACCTGCAGGGAAGGCCCAACAGCTAAAGGTGCTAACGTTAGCTACACTAGGCAAACCAATTTGATAATTTGACACCCCAAGACAATTTTAAATAAATAGCAGTTTATATATGACTGTTTGCAGAGAGTGTCCCCTTGAGACTTGTCGGTTCATCTGAATTTAAATTTCTGTTTAACCGACTGTAATTAGTCGTACACTAGACTGACTTCTATGCATTTAGAGATACTGAATCAAGGAATATTTGGTGTGGCCTTTTTTTTTTTTTTTTTTTCCAGAGCTATACACAGAGTAATACATGATTCAACGACAGCTGTATGAAACATACCCGTGCTTCATGACGTGCAGGTTCCACAGCTTCATCACCTCCTTCTCTCCCTCGTTTACATCTGTGAACTCATCCAGTTGCTGTACGACACAAAAACAAAATCAGATATGTACAATTATGATCTTGTAACAAAACATCTGTCGTCTGTTAAAACACTGCAGCAGCAAAAAAAAAAAAGAACCAAGACGATGACAAATTGATGGATTCACTTAAGAAAAGCGAAAGCAGCCATGATGGCAAACAGTTATAAAGAATAATGTGTCATACTCCGGTACTTGTCAATTCATAGGACACATTTTCTGTGTGTGATTTAAGAGCAGACAGTCGTGCTGGCAGATTCAGGAGATCGATACTGAAGTGATGAAATGCTGTTTACTGGTGTAAGTGCACGCTGAAGAAACGGCTCTGTGTTGGCAACAGTTTTTAATCTCAGCACCTTTAGGTTATTTATGTGCAGGCGGACACTTTGAGTCTTTGTTGCCATGGTAATCAGACACCAAAATCTGTACAACAAAGCTTCAACAGGGATGTGATTGGCAAAGGAGGAAAAGGCGGGAAGCGGATTGTGCCAGCTACCTTTGTTTGAGTTCACAAACTGCTTGAATTAGTACACACACACACACACACACACACACACACACACACACACACACACACACACACACACACACACACACACACACACCACACACACAACACACACACACACACACACACACACACACACACACACACACAACACACACACACACACACACACACACACACACACACAACACACACACACACACACACACACACACACACACACACACACACACACACACACACACACACACACACACACACACACACACACACACACACACACACACACACACACCACACACACACCACACACACACACACACACCACACACACACACACACACACACACACACACACACACACACACACACACACACACACACGATAAAAGTGTCCATCTGTATATTAAAATTGGAAACTTCCCAAGATGCGCAGAAAAGCAGCTTCCCAAGCACGATGCTAAAGTGCTTCCAATCTCAAGTGTGCATCCCTGCAAAGCTTTTTAGCGTTAGACGAATTGTTCACTGTTTAACAAGGTTGAAGCTGAAGATGTCCCACCACTTTCAGTAATGTCGGTGCATTACTGAAAGTGGTGGGACATCTTCAGCCATCAGTGAAGCCGATGAGTAAAGGTTTCTCACCGTGGCAGTCTTCTCTCTGAGCCACTCTGGATCTCTCTCGTCCTCGCTGTCCAGTTCCATCTCCTGAGGCCGCAGGGGCATGCAGCTGTCACTGTGGAAGTACAGTCGGTTGTGTCCGCTGACGTAGGTCCTCTGCTGCTCCAGTTCTCCGTCCTCAGTCTCCAGGAACTCTGACAGACTGGGTTTGGTCCTCTTGGGCCTGGTGGAAACGAGAAGAAACAAACCCAAAAATATACACCATGTACATCTGAAATAAGCTTCCTGCTTGTTTGTTTATATATATTCACTATACTGTTGAGTACTCATTTTTCTGACTTCATTTTCAAATTGCATCCAACCCTAATTTGCTTTGCACAATACACACCTTCTGAGGGTAAAATGAATCAGAGGAATGTGCCATCCCTGGAGGAGATGTCAATATTAAAGATCGATATTTAGGGAGATTCAGGAATATTCAAAAGGCTGCAATCAGCTAGAGAAATTGAGATTTTCTCTAATCTTCACCACCTTGTCCTCTTAGTTTCCCCTGACTCATGGTTGACTCTGTATGCAGCAGAATTTGATGAAAAAAGAAAACTACAGCGAGAGAATCAAAAACTGTAGTGGGCACATCTTGAGTGACTCAGATGTGTGCACAAAATAAAGAGTCATAGCTTCACGATGAATTCTCATTTTACCAAAAGCAGGGGGCAACACTGTCATGAAGCAACTTCTCATTTTGGCCGGCACTATCCATCATTTAATGTTTGCCAGAGGCAGATATCAGCTGTACCTCTTCAACGCTCGAGCAAAAATAAACTGAACTCTGTAGGAGGCTTTTTGTGGAGTAACAGAGAGAACTGAGTCTAACTGAAGTCTTAACAAATAAATAAATAATTCTGGTTTTTCTCTTTCAGAACCTGACATCTTGATTTCTTGAGTAACACAAACCACAGAGAAGATTTGAATGAGTTGACTTGTAGACTCGTGG